GGCGTGACTTTTGCCAATTTAATTAGTCTCTAGCCAATAAGGAATTTTCTTTTATTATAGTCAGGGTAAAGAAATGACTAACTGAATTTTTTTTTTTACTCTTGGTTGCATAATAAAAGAAAATCTTTTTATATTTCTTAACTCACTTTACATATATGTCATATAATTCAAACTCATGACTTATTACTTTTACGATAAAAAGATAACTATTAAACTACTTAAGTTGTTAATTAAATTTTACATAATGGCAGATATTTTTAAAGAAAATAATTGGAACATACTCAATTCAATTTACATCTTGGCATATGTTCATTTCAATCATTAAATATATAACATAAATATAACTGATTCTACCAGTATTTATATCTTGTATGCATAACTGTTTTTTTAAATTTATTTATCTTTTATTTTAAATCAAATCAAAAAATTATAATTTTTTAATAAATGTTTTATACAATGTTGTAAACCAAAATGTATACCAATAGTGTCCTGCTTTTAAGCATGGTTGGAACATGTTTGGATGTGTAACTTTTTAAAACTTAAAAGCTATTTTAAAAGGTAATTCTTAAATTTTTCTTTGATAAAATTTTAAGTTTATAAAAAAAAATTTACTTTTAAATAAATACTTTTAAGTTTTGCTAAACACTCTTCATACAAGCGAAGGACTTATAATTAAGCTTACTTGTTATGCCAAAATTCTCATTACAGAAATGACATATTAAATAAAAAAAATCTTCATCAAATTAATATAAAAGAGATGTATATGTTGTCTAACACTATGTGATTTAGTGACCATAATTTACGTGAAACGTGCTATGACATGTAAGTCCTGAGTTCTTTACTCAGGCACTACTTCTCTCATCCCCACAATTCCCCTTGGTTCAAAAAAAAAAAAGAAAAAAGAAAAAAAAAAAAAGAAAAGAAAGATGTATATGTTAAATAAAAAAATAAAAAAAAAAACTACTCTAAAGTAATGTATTGCAACGTGTCAGCAAGAGAGGGGGTAGTGTTAAAGAGAGTGCTTATGGGCGAGTGCCCTTAGCATTGCTCAATGAAATGTGTGGTTCTCAATTGAAAATGATGAGTACTCGATTTAAGTGTTTATGTAGGTAGGGTTGTGAATAAGATAATGAGCTGAACTAATCATGTGTGAATTACTCGATTTAAGCTTGATTAACCAATGAGTTTGAACTCGAGTTCAATTTTAGGTTAGAAAATGTAGTTGAGCCCGAGCTTAAGCAATTAAGGCTGAAAGCTTATGTTGCGCTGGAATTTAATAAAAAGAGATTAAATCTCCCTTTCGGTCCATCAACATTGAGACTGGAGTGTTTTTGGTCCTTTAGCTCTAAAATAGTAGACCTTTTTGATCCTCACGATGATTAAGTGTTTACCTACGTATCAGTTAATTTAATTGAGGGCCTTTATCTTGCGTCCAACTTTGATCTCTCAACTTGCATAAAATTGATACTTTAGTCCTCATACTTTTTATTAAAAGTAAGATTTGAACTTTAATTGATTTTATCCATAACTTAAATAATTTAATGATAATTTTATTCTTGTAAAAGTAAAACATCCTAATGAATTTAAGTCACATAGTATGTAAATAAGATAGGGTGAATTAATGAATGAAAGATAATAACCTTTTATTTTGTAAACCAAAATAATAAAAAGAAACTTTAATTCACCTTAAATTCAAATAAAAATTTTTAAATTAATAAATATAAAAGAAAGCGAGTCGGTAACCCAACAACCTTTAAACGCTCAATCTATTTACTTAATTCCATGAAGTGGAACCGGGGCAAACGCAATTTTTTTCTTTCTTTCCCATGTTCAAGATTTTGATTTTACATCAAATCCTTGCTAAAATAACATGTCAAATGAAACAGAAGATGTCAATAGAAATGATTGTATTTTGAATTAATTAAGTAATTTAGTAATAATTTATTTTTAATAAAAGTAAAGAATCTTAAATTTAAGTTATATGATATAAAAGTGAGATGAATTAAGGAATAAAAGAGAGTTATCTCTTATTATGTAATTTAAAATAAAAAAAATAAAAATAAAATGATTGTATTTTGCTAGGTCAATAAAATGGTTGTTACTAAATAATAAACTATATCGTCAATCGTGGAGTGAAATTTGGGACTGAGAAAGGGTAAAACTATCATTTTTTTATGTTCCACCATTAATTATTTGTTAAAAATGAACAAAAAAAAAGAGAGAGAATATTGTTGGGTGAATCTTCTTATAGTGGAAATTGTATACTTATATATATATATATATATGAGGAAATTGCATACTTCTTCCGTTCAACTTTAATTGTAATTTTATTTTAATTTTTTGGCTTTTGAATATAAAAATAATTTATTTATAATATCACATCATACTACAACCTTATAATTATGACAATTTATTATATGATTGATTCTTTTTATTTTAAACACACATGTCATTGATATGTATTTCTCTATTTAATTTCTCTATTTAATGCATTTAAGGACATGTAATGTCTGTATTATATCATACTTGACATAATAACTATAGCTAGCATTGTTGTTTTAAATATTAATTTTAGAGAAAAGAAATTAACAAAAAATATGAAAAACAGTTAAATTTTTTTATTTTTTATTATACAATGTTCTTGTTAAGTAGTGTTTTTGATAAAAATAATAATTTATATATTATTTTGTTAAAATTTTATATAAATTAATGTATAAAAATAAAAAAATTAAAGTT